TTTTTTTTTTGGTGATATCCACGAAAACATATGGAGTCACATAACGATAATCAGTCATGTCTTTGTTATCCATATTCTGACGATGCGATTGCAACACAGACTTTAATCCGCGAGCATAAGCCTGGTTATCAAAACCTATAGTCGTATAAATTTTTAGAATTCATATACCAGAATCGGTAGATGGAACTTCCCAAGTGATGATGACTTTAGATGGATGATCAAAGCTGTACTTAGACGAACACATTGTTATCATGCAAATAGACAAACATGCTGAATCTTTTCTAAAGAGATACAAAAAGTTAATGCTATTATAAAAACCCTAGCAAAATAATCACAGAACCCTAATAGAAAAACTAATGCGTAAATTATGAGAAGTTTGGTTGAAAACGCTCATATTTATACGTCTAAACAACCTAGGGTTTATTTTCTTGTGAAAAATACTAAAATGTAATTATTGATCTATATGCGATATTATCTTCCCATAAATTTCGTAGTTATTAATAATAAAAATGTAAAGATTCCATTCTAGATAATAACAAAGAAATTATGGAATATTCCCTTTTACAAAATATTTAATAAATACAAAATATTTCCAAAAATCGAATTATAACTGAATTCTAACAATTAAAATAAAATAAAAAACTAATCACAGGATTCGAACCCGTGAACCTTCGATAAATGGACAAAGCACTTAACCAACATAGTTACCATCTCATTCAGCACAAACGACGTATTGGAAGGTATGTATATTTTTTTGTCAAAAAATTAATGCTATTATAAAAACCCTAGAAAAATAATCACAGAACCCTAATAGAAAAACTAATGCGTAAATTATGAGAAGTTTGGTTGAAAACGCTCATATTTATACGTCTAAACAACCTAGGATTTATTTTCTTGTGAAAAATACTAAAATGTAATTATTGATCTATATGCGATATTATCTTCCCATAAATTTCGTAGTTATTAATAATAAATGTAAAGATTCCATTCTAGATAATAACAAAGAAATTATGTAATATTCCCTTTTACAAAATATTTAATAAATACAAAATATTTCCAAAAAAATCGAATTATAACTAAATTCTAACAATTAAAAAAAAAAAAAAAACTAATCACAGGATTCGAACCCGTGAACTTTCGATAAATGGACAAAGCACTTAACCAACACAGCTACCATCTCATTCAGCACAAACGACGTATTAGAAGGTATGTATATTTTTTTTTGGGTTTGAAATTTGGGCCAATTTATCCGAGACAAGAGATTATGGCCCATGCCCTTTTTACTTGAATTAAAGAAGTTTTTATTATGGCCCAGCAACTAATATCGATTTTAATGATTTAAAATTAACTAATTCAACCAATCAAATTATAACAATTATCAACCAATCAAATCATCAAAATTTCATTAATCAAAACGACATCAAAAACTGTGCGTTAAACCATAAACTAATTCACTTCGCAAATACTAATATAGATGTGTCGCTACTACAAATGTGGATAAATGTTTTTTCACAAGAGTTCTATTAAAGAAAATGTTATCAATATACATCAGGGATATATAATAATTTTTAAAAGTTTTATCTACTTTGATGTACTGAAAATGAGTTATTTTGTCTGTTACAAATAAAATAAAGATAATATAAAAATATTAATGCGTATAAGAATAGTATGATATGACATTATATTTTTAAAAATATTATTTAACACTGATTTTTATCTCTCCCATAAATATAAGATATGGTTCCTTAATCCAAGACAATCCTATCGCTGGGACACTCACCAAATGGGTAAAAAAAACAAAGAAAAAACAAAATTTCGCTCTGCCTGATAAATAGCTAATTTGGGCATAATTAAAAAAATATCCTTTTAAGTTTTTTTTTTTTAATTAAGAAGATATCAACTTATAATCTTCCACCTCTGTCCCGACCAAAAAAAAAATCTTTCACCTCTGCTTTCATTTATTCAATTGATGTCTGATTTCGTTCTCCTCATCTTTCTTTCGGATCGTCCTTGAAGGTTAAGCATCCTCTTCACATGTCATTTAAATACAGAAAGTTAGAACAAATGTTATAAATATCTAAATTATTATCCTAATAGTAAAGTTTAATCATCTGATTAAGTTCGTCAAAACCATTTATTTGAAAATATGATGACATCAAAATCATAAAATATTAGTTCACTTATCTCGGGTGCTTATTTTTTGTTTTTTAAAGAACAAAAATTTCATTTTACAAATAGCATGTTATTTATCTCTAAGATAGTCATCAACCGTAAATTGCCATGTTATTTAATCAATACCGGAAACAAAACATGTCAAAAAATGCTAAGCTGAACAAACAAATATTGATTGAATAAACAGATTACCGAATTTGTTTGTATTCTTGACATCTCTTCCTGTCGAACATTAACAAAAAAAAAAGTCGTGAGAGAAATTACTAGAGAAGCAAAATGTCGATTTTTGATGACTAAGAACATCCTAGGTTACCTGTCTTCTTAGTAGCTCTTGATTCTCTTTCTTTAACTTTTTATATTCAGCTTCAAGCTCCATAATTTGCGCCTAAAATAGAAAAAAAAAAAAATTGGTATCCAAACACAATAAAAAAAATATGTAGATAAGAAGATATCAAACATTTTTTACCTGCTTTCGAGCCCGTGATCTTGCTGCCGATTCCCGATTCTTTATCTTTCTCCTTTGTGTTTTCTCCGCAGCAATATCATTATTGTTATTCCTACCCCTAGCATTATTACCACCACTACTAATGTATGGAAATGGTGAGACTAATGACGAACCAACACCAATCTTTTGGATCCCGTCTGATTGCGGAAATGTCGTAATCCGGGAACATGTGTCAACACTCATGGTTCCACTAGGAATTGTTGCATTGCTTGGGACCAAACTTATGTTTTTTTGTTGATGACTTTGATCTCCGATTTCCATGAAGCTATCTCTTAGCCCGTAATTGTTAATCTGACCACTCGTGAACGCGAGTTGTGGTTCATAACCATGTGTTTTAGACATTATAGGTTGTTGCGGCAGGAACTGATTTTGTTGTTGTTGTTGCGGTTGATATGACATAGAGACACTCAAACTTGGATGAAAATTTGAACCATAATTTCTACTCCTTGCAACATTATTGTTCAACAAATGAGAAACCATTGGTTCCTGCTGAAACTTATCAAAACTTAAATTTTTGTTTCGATTCCTTGAAATCGATGATGATGGTTCATGAATGTAGCCACTACTGTTATTATTTCCTGTGGCTCCCGCACGGGTCAAAAATTCCTCCAAAGTGACTTCCCCTAAGGTTTGTTGCCTTTGAATCTGAGGAATATTTGTGCTTCCTCCGACTTTGTTGGTGTGTTCTTCTTCCTCTGTGATATATTTCCAAACTTCATCAATAGTTTTTTGGCTAAGTATTTGAGGCAGAATTATTGAGCGTTGCCTTTGCAATCCATCGTTTAAGCCATTAGTTGAAACCATACCTTGTGTTTCTTCAGCACTGCATATATTCTTAAGTAACTCTTCCATATACATTGATCCACAATCTTTTCCTAAGTTGTTCTGAATCTGGTCTAGTGTCCATGAGTATATTGATCCCTGTCGATTCAAAGGAGTACTCACTGGTATGTTCATCATTCCCAGTGGAGCAGTCCCTAAGCTTCCAAAATTCCAATTACTATCCATTTCGGCAGAATCCAACTACAATAATATCACCTGTCACAAAATCCAAAAATGTTTCGTGATAAATAGAATTTTCAAAGAAGATAATTTAATCAGAAAATGTCTATGCTCATAGATGAAATTTAACCTTGAGATCTAATAGCTTTTGCCTTGTCGATAGAACTACTGATTATACAGAACTCTAATTTGAAAAATAAGAGAGTGCAGCTCACATTTAAAAACAAAAAAAACAGAGGAAGACCCAAATTTATGCAACAACCAAGAAAAAGACTTTTTTCTACTATTTCATAAGATTCATTGAACCAAAAGGTAATATACAGGTATGAAAAATCTTAGCTAATTAAGCAATATAAATGAAGTAAGAAAATCTAGACATTAATGAATAAATAAATAAATAAAACAATACAAGGAACATATAATTTATTTTTACCTTTTTACATAATTTTCCTGTTAAGTAATTGTAAAAGTTATATTTGTAAATATAAGAAAGATCTAGATGAGTTAATAAATTTGTAATATACACCTGTAAAAAATAATTTCCTTCAATAAAATTTTAAAAAGTAGGTTTGAAATTTTTATTTTTATTTTTTATTTTTATTTTTTTCCAATTACAAAGATGAAAGCAGGTTTGAAATTTAAAAACTAAAAGCTCATAAAGGAAAAAGAAAAAACAAGAGAAGAGGGTTTAGAGAAGTAAAATTAGAAAAATATATACATGGGCATTGATCTATAATGTTATGACACCATTCAATATTATGATAATCACAATTAGATATAAATGGATTTTTTTGTGAGTAAATGAATATTGAACCAAGTATAAATCTAAGCTCTCGAATAGCTAAAACAAGATTTTTTTTACAATTAGAGAGAATACATTACCTAAACTAGCATATCAGATTCATTGTTATATAAGATGGTTTATGGAGGCCCGTTCCATTGAGTAAGTAGGATAAACAGCCGTTTAGGACCCAAAATTTTAAAGTCAATATTCAGAGAATATCTAATATTTACTTATGTGTAGGGTCCGACAAGATTTTTAGATACATTGGACTGAGCCATTACTTTTTTTTTTTTGATAAAGGATTGTCATATTAATTTTATTTTTTTCCAATTACAAAGATGAAAGCAGGTTTGAAATTTAAAAACTAAAAGCTCATAAAAGAAAAAGAAAAAACAAGAGAAGGGGGTTTAGAGAAGTAAAATTAGAAAAATATATACATGGGCATTGATCTATAATGTTATGAAACCATTCAATATTATGATAATCACAATTAGATATAAATGGATTTTTTTGTAAGTAAATGAATATTGAACCAAGTATAAATCTAAGCTCTCGAATAGCTAAAACAAGATTTTTTTTTTCAATTAGAAAGAATACATTACCTAAACTAGCATATCAGATTCATTGTTATATAAAATGGTTTATGGAGGTCCGTTCTATTGAGTAAGTAAGATAAACAGCCGTTTAGGATTCAAAAAATTAAAACCAATATTCAGAGAATATCTAGTATTTACTTATGTATAGGGTCCGACATATTTTTTTAGATACATTAGACTGAGCCATTACTTTTTTTTATATAAAGGGTTGTCATATTAATTTTTATTTTTTTCCAATTATTGTACAAAGATGAAAGGAGGTTTGAAATTTAAAAACTAAAAACCCATAGAGTAAAAAGAAAAAACAAGAGAAGAGGCCCGATCCGTAGCCCTTAATGGGCCTACCTAGACAAAATCTGACCCGAAAGTGCAAAAACCGGGTGAAAACGAGAAATCCTAAGCACCAATAACCTGCGAACAAAGGAAACGCCGCCACCGCCTCCGTTGACGAGAAACCGCTGCACCATGAAACCGTCGCTAAAACTCGCCGACCAAACAGACCGCCACCTGGGAAAAGGAACCAACCACCGGAGTGCCACCGCATCGAAAACTTACTTGAGGGAGAAGAAAACAGGATTTTCAGAAAGAGGAAACCAGATCTGGTACACGCCACCGCCGAGATTTCTTTCCAGACTCGCCATCGGCAAGCTTACTTCGCAAATCATCGGCGGTATCTGATGTCCTAAATCACCTTCTCTGAGAATTCCTTTTAAGACCCGCCGATGTAAGGGAGCTTACTCAATAATCCTCAACGCCTCTCGACAACCCTCAAGCTCGCTTCCCCATCTTGACGAAGTCAGAGCAGAACAAGAAATAGAGCTGCCAAGTTGCCGAGGATTCCGACAAAATCCTAAGAGGAAGAATCACCAGACCATAGTCTTCGTCAGATCCAGGTCTGCAGGTGACTTCCGCCTTCCACCACCGACTAATCGAAGTTACTTCGCCGGAAAGCAAGACACGCCACCGAAAGAATCAGGGCAGAGACCTAACCACATGCAAGGAAGAAGAAGCCCTCTCACGGCATCGGCAAGGTGTGCCGTTAACCTGAGAGACGAAGAAAAGGTGAGAAAAGGAGAAAGCGGCTAGGGTTTTTTTTTGGAGAGAGATGCCGCTCAAAGGCTCTTTTCTACAAAGCCCCACACTCTTCTGGGTCTTTCTTCTTTCTTTAACCCTCTCTCTCTTAATTTCCCTCATAAAAACTCTGATCTCTGTAGGTTTTATAAAAATGTTTCTATTTATGTCTCTCACTGCAAAATATATCATGTTTTGCTGAATTTTCGGCAATTTTTTCTTTTTTTCATCCTAAGAAAGTGATGTGGTATAAACTACTATTTTAGCATTGGTTTGATTTCTCAGGCAAGCTCGTTCGAGTAGTCCCTCCAAGGATGACTTGTTACGGCAAAGCAATGATTTGGCAAATCAAAAATCATTCGCTAAGCGAATAAAGTGGAAAGTCCTCCAAAAATGCCGCGTCAATGTTCCCTTACTTCCACTTTTTTTTTTTCCGTTGATATACACAACTAGATTTTTCTTCAAACTGTTTAACGCTAGAAAGGAGGGTATTCCTTTAAAAGCTAGACTCTAACAATGAACCAATGATGAGAACAAGTGACGACCTACATTTCTATTAAATAATGAAAACCTCTCATGTCCATGAATGAAGAAGGAAGACCCTCATTTTCAAGAGTGCATAACTATTCACTTTGGTTAGATGAAAATGTTAGACCCATCACATCCTCCACCCATCATTCCTCTCCGTGAAACTCCAATGGAGCCTAAAAAATAATACCACTTGTGTGAGCGATTGCATGCCCTTTCACAACAAATAGATATGGTATAATCCTAACAAACGATCTTGTCAAATGCTGCTGTATTGGTGACTTCTCAAAAAGCCTACACGGACCAAACTAAGGGGTTTTCTACAGACCTTACGCGAACCCTTTAAGAAATAAATACTCGACCCCATAGTACTTTTCATATGCGAGCATTTTTGATCAGGTGGACAGACAAATATCTTCCAATTTCTTCAATTACCAGTCAATTTATAGTGCTAAACTTATAGTTGGATGTATTCTTGATCAGTGGCAGATCTAGGATTTTTTTTTTAAACGGGGTCAGTTTTTCAAATAAAAAATAATTATATATCAAAATGGTCATATAGGGGTTTTGAACTTGGGTTTACAGGGTTCACTTGGCTGTTTTTTTACCAACATTGCTACATATTTTCCTCCGAAATTATATACAAAATTATTTATATACAGATTTAAGGGGTGTCATATGATCCCCTTTCCTTCTTAGTGGGTCCGCCAATGTTCTTGATGATATAGACAACATACCACTCTTGTTTGTTATCTACCGATGATCACTTGATAGAATTTAGATCTGAATGATCGAGGTGAAACCCTCACCTCACTCATTGATGTTCAAACTCAGGTTGCGAATTTGTCTCTGTCCAAATTGAATTTACCCGAACTTATCATATATCCAGAACCTATGGGAGCTGATAGATCATCTCTTGGTGAAGTTGATGGGATTAACAGAGGTGTATAGTGGACATCAATGCGACTCCACCCAATGGATTGGAGCTATTTAGATATTTGAAGCCTGCATCGCTAAAGAATGCATATTTTGGGTAGAGTTTTGATTAACATCAGTATAATTCGTATTCTATGGTGCTATACGAGAAGGATTCACGATTACTATTAGGCCATATTCATGTCTTATTGTATTTGTTTCTATTGCATTAGTCCCACATCCTTAATATGTCAAGTATTAGGTCAATTGTATTGTGTATATAGCCTTTCTATTGATATGAACATAATAAGAAACTCTTTTGTAACTTCTAAAGGTTTCTTGTCATGGTATCAGAGTTTTAAAACCTAAATTTCTACAAATTTTTATTGTTTCTCGATTTAAGAGATCCCAAGCTTTCGCTGCGAGATCCCGTTTTTAGTTGTGTTTTCTTTTGGTCTTTGACCTATTTTTTTTTGTTTTCACTTTGAAACAATTGTTTCTTCACGATGGGTGATAACAACTCGACGATTATTCTGAGGGTTTCTACAACTAAAACTCGTCGTACCATATCCCCTTATGATTTAATTTCTGGAGATAATCCTGGTATGCTGATCTCCAACCCCTTGTTGCATGGTCCAAATTACGATCAGTGGGCCACAAGTCTTCGTTTAGCACTGAAGGCAAGGAAAAAGTATGGTTTTGCGGGTGGTACCATACCACAGCCAGAGGAGACGTCTCCTGATTTTGAAGATTGGAATGCAAACAATGTGCTCGTGGTTTCATGGATGAAACTCACTATTGATAAGAATCTCTCTGACTCGATGTCTCAGATTGATGACTCTAATGAACTTTGGACACACATGGATGAAACTCTCATGGTGTTAGCGCTTTAGAGTTAAAAATGGACAGCATGTTCAACGTCTTAAGACAGAGTTGGCAAATTGTAGACAAAAGGGATTGTTTCGAAGCTTATTATGGAAAATTAACTTAACTATGATGAAGCTTGGCTGACTACAAAAAGGCCAAGACCATGGAGGAATTTCGAACGTGAGGAAGACAAACTGCAAAAATTTCTCATGGGCCTTGACAAAACTTTGTATGGACAAGTGAAA